ACCAGGGCTGGCATTGCTGCCATACAGTGAGAGGCTGAAAAAGCTAAGGATCCCATCCCTACAGTATAGAAGAAAGAGGGGGACATGATACAGGTGTTTAAAATTGTAACTGGTCAAGAGAGGGTCCGAGCAGATGTCTTCTTTTCGTTCCTGGACAGTAGAACAACAAGAGGTCACAAATACAAGCTAAAAGTTCCCCTTGCAAAAGCTAGAGTGAGAGGCCAAGTGTTCAGTACTAGAATTGTCAAGGACTGGAACTCGCTACCAGAATGGGTAGTGAACAGCAAAACAGTGAACCAGTTTAAGACTAATCTGGACAAGCACTGGATGCACCTCGTATTCAAGCACGTCGGAAGCGACTAGAGCGGCTCATCATAGGCAACGCCTCCCTCAGCCGTATGCGGTATCAAGGTATCAAGGTAATTTTCTCATCTAGTCATTTTCGATATCTTTCAACATATTAGCGTCACTATTTCGCTTTTTCGGCAACTCAGCGCAGTGCGAGAATAAGTTGCGCAATAAAAGGAGGCTCCTTTTATCATTCTAAATAGAATGTAAACAAACAACGGTTTTCTTTTGAGAATATTCGGCAACTTCTGGTGCGTGTCTGGGTTCCATGGTTCGAACACTTTCGAATGCAGGACTTCGAAGCCAATTGACTTCAAATTTGACGGTCTATGAATGGTCAGTAGTGACTCAGTACCTTGAAGTTGAACTAAAATCCTCTTTTTGTATATACTTGCAAGTTAGTATGTCACTTATTATATTGCATGTGGTAGCCACATTCATACAGTTCCTCATACCAAGAAACAAATCTTATGACATTACGCGAATTGTATCAAAATGTAGCGGAAACTCAGGATATTCTCCGTGAAGTTTTATACTTTGCTGATTGGTAACATTACTACTGTCCCTGGTGTTGTCTATGCATTTACTTCAATAAAAAAATATGATTATGAAAGCTGCTATGGTAAAGAGAACAACAACAAGAAGCCATAGGCGACAATCCTCCGTGAAGTTTTATATTTTGCAACAAAAATAATCCCAAGCGTCAACGCCAGACCTACTGTGCAGACATTAGGCAACGGTTAATACATATAGGGTGCGTCACAACCATGAAACATAAAAAGACCTAAACCCATTACTGCTCCCAGGGCATGTAAAGATACTGTGCTTCAAGTTCGAAGTTCATTTTAATTACGCACACACAATCATTGCATTCACATAAAGATCGGACTATCATGGTCGTGTCACTAGTAACAAAGACAGCCCCACCGTCTTACCGTTCCTGTTACTTATTAAGCGCGACTGGCCAGGCCAAATTCCAGCAACAGTTGCGGCCAGCACCGCGAGTGTTATTATCCCCGGTCAGATACCCGGGCGAAAACATGTCAACGACATTATAGAGATGTTTCAAAAATAAGCATTTTATTTACTACAATATCAAAACTGCTAGGGTAAAAATAAAAAGACGTGCATCACCACGGGCATAATGGCACACCACATGCGAAATTACACAGAAATGCTACGTACGGAACAATGCGTTTTGGCTGCGAACATCTATGGTACCACTTATCGACCCCTCCCTGCGTCTGCATGAAGTTTCACCCCCCCACCGCTATTCCAAACACGGGTTTTTCTGGACCATTCCAATTTTCCTCATAATTGTAGGGGTGCATCTTAAATATTACATTGACCGCGAAAACAGCAATGGCGTATAAAATTGGGTGCCGATTACACAAAGGGGAACCCGTGTTCTAGCT